CTTTAAAATTTCCATGTTTCATCAATAAACAAATTAATAAAAAAAAAAATGAAAAAGTTGAAAGTGGTTTGGTTGTAACAGTATGAAAATTCCTTCAAGAGTTTAAAATTAAAAGTGACTTAAATGAGAAGTAATAGAAAGATTAAAGTGAAAAAGTATTTACTTAAATGTTTTCGTGAAATTGGCTGTTATTGCTCGTAACATAGCACGTATGTATGTATGTATACGTAAGTTTATTTTAAATCATAGAAATGCACTTTTTTATGAGAAAATGCCGTGTACCTGTGGACAATGTTAGTAGATAAATGAATTTTAAGTTTTAGTTTTTTTGTTTGATAAACTGTGTTTATTTGTATTTTTTTTAATAAAGTTTTTACTTGGTGACATTCCCAATTCTTTGGCTATTATTATTGTTGTCCATTTTGTTTTTGCTTTTTAAGCTGATGCCAGATAAAAAGCTTGATTCGCTTTGCGTGTCACATAGCTCCCATCATCATGCTTTGAAATTGATTCATCAAGTTAAATTAGGAACCTTGCCTTCCGCAATTGAAAACTATACAACATTTCTTGTGCATATCATCCATAGTATTTTTGCGCAGAACCCACAAAATTTGCAAAAAAAGTGCATTGTGCAAACCGTATTCCGTTTCTGGATTCGAGTTATGCGTTTGGACCAAGGCACATTAAACAGCTAGTATCAGTAGAGCAAAAACAACATTTGCGTGTATTTTGTTGTTGCTTCTGGTATCGAAAGTGTCAAAAACTGTTCTGAATTTTTTCTTCTAAATCAAAGCGTGCCATGTGAAATACAAAAAATTATAAAAAATAAAAAATTGAAATTGGAAAAAATAAAAATTGTTGCAACTTTCTTCCCTAGTAAATTTGTTTGCTTCTCGAAGCATTGATCCATCCTTTACAAGAGCCAGTAATCAGCGGTTGTGCTGCTGAGTTGGGCGAACGTTCCAAAAGCTGCTATTCAATCGCTTGTTTTGTATGGAAAAAGGTTTCACATGCAAATGGATTTTAACAATTCAGAATTTTTGTGAGAAAAAATTAAAAATATTTGACATTTTCGAGACCAAATAATTTGAAAATAAATCAAATCAGCTGCTCTACTGATACTACCTGTTCAATGTACCTTGATACATACATATAGCAGCAGTTAATTTCATTCAAAGAAATGGCGTGTCGTCCATTTCCGTGCATATATTTAGGCGCAATATTTAACTTCTTCTGGCGCGGCGACATCTAGAGTCTTCTTATTGTATCTCTTTGATATGATGCCTACAACGAGATTGATATCTAGACGAGGTTGTTATCCAGAATTTGCCATAAATAGCTTTGCTACATTTATAATATAAATGGTCGTCTGGACCATAGCTGTAAAATGACTGAATCAGTAGTATCTGCATTCACTCGGCATTCTTTTTAAAATTTTTATTCCTGAGTGGCTTAAATTATTTGGAACAAAAACAAACGTAATGTGATATTGAATGGTAGAGTTCCATTGAGTATAGAATGTGAATGTTACAAAAGCATTCGAAATCATCGTGATTGTAAATGTTGGTTGAATGCAAACACTTTTGATCATTCAATACTACACTGAAAAAAAAAATTTGCCTTGACACTAGAAGAAAATCTTTATAGGAGAAAATAGTCGTTTTGCTTTTGCTTTTCTACCACTGCTAAAATTTGGTAAAGTATTACCTATGACGGTTTTTTATAAATAAAAACTGGTCAAAAAGGATGGCCGCGCGAAAATCGGCACATATGTATTTTTAAGAAAGGACATCATATGTATGTGGATAAACCATGTACTGAATGATGAAAGCTGCTATCATTCGATGGTTGTTATGCATAATTATTTCTTGTTCTGCATATTTTCCAATCTTTTAAAGAAAGTTCATACACCTCATTATTCCATCATCAAAACTTACATATTTTTCTTAGTGTATAAAATTTGATTGGAACTGAATTAGAGAATGCACACATAGCAAAGTGCTCATTCATCTGGAAGCTAATTCAGTATTGAATTCTGTTTACTTCAGCATTCTCAGTTTTTCATTCAGGTACATATTTACTAGAGGGCTGCATGAATTCATTCAAACTTCTAGCCAAACAGAATATAATAGATTTGAATATTTTACTTCACATACAAAACACTCAGCGTTTGGAATTTTGTAAGCTATGAATATATATTTTGTTTTATATTTTCTACCTTCAAATGGAAGAATTTGACTGAATGAATAGAAAACATTCAAATCATTCAAACTCATTTCGGTAAAAGTTTTTTTTTTACAAACAAGTTTTTTCGTATATAATAGGAGCGCAGCAATACATACATACATACATATGTATGTTTGTACATATGTGCTAGAGGTATACGCCGCCGAGCCACGCCGCCGCCGCCGCCGTTTTTTGTAATTTTTCACGCGCCGCCGCCGAATTACGAAAATATCGGCGCGGCGGCGGCGGCGGCGGCGTTCGGCGCCTAAGGAATTTTGTATTACTCGTAAAAAAACACTATTTTAGAAAATGAAAATTACATTTTTAAAGGAGTTTTTTTTGCTTAATTTGGGCCACTGAACATTTCCAAAAAAAGCGTAACTCAGAAAAAACATAGGTAACACGTTTTTCAATCGAAAGCGTTTATTACAGTTAAATTAGGGTCGAATACTGGTAATCTGACAATTTTTTTCCGCAGTAGACAATTTTTTTCAATACTACAACAATACTACTTTTTTATATACTACAACAACAAGAAAGTTATAACACATCTAAAACTTTAACGCCAATATCTCAGAAAGCAGTTTTAACAGAAGCGCCCTTATTGCATCTAACTCCTCAATTATTGGAGATAAAACAAAGATAAGTTGATGTTCCTGTGTATTTTTTTTTAATATGTGACCTGGTCTACGAAAAGGGAGCTTACGTGCGAAAACTAGTTTTCTGTGAAAAAGCTGTTAAAAGTAAGTAACTCGTTTCGTCAGTTTCTCATTATCTCGTTAATTGTTATAATGTAATTGTAATTGTATAATGTAATTGTATAATGTAATAAATTATATTTTGTCGTATTTTTACTCTTCTTTCTCTACATTTTTAGTACACTTCTAAGCAAGTCTGCTTTTCACCACGTGAAAAAGCATCTAGTCTTCCATCCGAATCAACCAAAAAGTGTAAATTGATTTTTTGACACCTAAGCCCCCTTTCCGTAGACCAGGTCACATATTATAAACACACTTTTAATAAAAAGCAAACTCTTTTTTTTGCTAATTTTTGCATTCGTAACTTATTTTATTCTGGGGTCCCGCAGACGTATACAAGTACTAGGTGGCTGTGTGAAAATTACGTTAGCATTTCTAAGTGGTGGTCAAATCCCAGGAAGGGTTTGCTCCCGCGCATCGCAATGTCTTCTACACAGGTTTAAAGTCCCCCTTTTTGCTAAAAATTACTATTATTTTTCATTACATTCGGTTCTCCTAAGAAAAATTTGGCGCCTTATATTTTAGTGGAAATTTTAACCATCTATAAGCCATTTTTTAAACAGTGGGTAAAAAGGCCCGTTTTGGTGGGAGTTGATGGGTTAAACTTTTGGAAAAAAGTAGACCAAACCTTGTTTTCAATACATAACCCCCAAAAAAATCGTAACAACTCCGTAATTTAACATAACGGTTGATAAGATTATTGCAAAAATTTATTGACAGCGATACAAATTACCCCAATAACTCGACCTTTTAAATTTTTGTATTTCTTTAAATTTAAATAGCACATACGGATTTGTAGAGAACATAGAGATGTACATATGTATATACCTCAAAATTTCGTGTGTTCGCCCATCCATCAGCGGCAGACACTCAAGATTTTAATGCAAGTAGAAAGTAAGGTAATTTAAATTTAAAACTAATTCAATTAATGAATTAAATACAATTACAATCTGAATTGCCATGGCGAATGCCTAAGGGTGCCGAGATGATAGGACAAGATTAGTAGCCTCATGGCTCTTTGGAATCTACCTTATGAGCAGTAGCGCCGGCGTCTCCAGACGCGCCGGCCTCGCCGCCGCCGCCGATTCTTTTTGAAGTTGACCACGCCGCCGCCGCAAAGCCTTTCGGCGTAAACCTCTAATATGTGCATAGAAAAAATATTTTTGGATATTCATACAAAAAATTTTCATCTATTTCAATTCAATTTATTTTCACTTTGTTTGAATATTGTAATGTCGACACAAATATCAGAACTGCTATTCACTCAAATTCAAAAAAAATTTGAAGCCAAAATCATTCATCTGTTTTGTATATGAATAATTCATAAGCCGTTTTGAATGCATTCATGCAGCCCTCTAATATTTACCACCTTGCTGTGTGAAATCAATTTTTTTTTTTATGATTTTAGATTGAAAAAATATAAGCCACACTACTAGACAAAAGGAAAAAGAATGAAATCCTACTGGTAAATATTTCATGATTAAAATTTTAAATGATTTCACAGTTTCACAGCTCTGGTCAGGACATACAACATTGCAAGTTGAGAAAAGCGTTGTAAAAAATTTAATAAAAAGCAAGTCACGACCCTAATGTTCATTCATACTACTATGCATACAAACATACCCTTAGAAAAAATAGCAACAACATGCTTCAAATCAAATCAAAGGCATGTTAAGTGGGTTTGCAACGATTTCGCGGGAATGCTGAAGCTCCTTGGCACGGGTGCAGACGGCAATCAATGAAGTTGTTTGTAATTCCTATGGTCCAGCAATTCGATAGTTAACAGATTTCCATTTTGGTTTTGCATTTTTATTGTGGCCTAGTTCTTGTGTCCTCTTTTAAAAATACTATGGAGCTATTAGCTCAACTACAAGCTTGTAAACATACATTATCTATGTGTATGTATATAAAAATGAAATGTTTTTCGTATGACGGCGATGCCTGACCAAACGGCTGAACCGATTTCAATTCTGTAAAAAGTACGTTTTGGTCCTT